GCGGGGAGAGAGAAAGAAGAGGAAAATCTCTAGCATCTAAAAACAGCACTGGAGTTCAGATTGTGACATATCAGACTTTAACTGATAAATTTTGTTGATGCACCCTTAGAACAGAATTCAGCTCCTTTCCCCATAACTATATAAAATGCTGCCAGGCTAAAGGGATTTAAAACGTTTTGTCAGAATAATAAGTAGATATGACAGACACAGGGAGCAGGCAGAATAATAAGTCTGTTGTATAATGGCAGTCATTGTGGTGACAGGTGCGCTTGAAATGCCTAGCCAGATAATAAATGTCCTTCTCTCTAGCACCTTTGAAGGAAAAAAGGATCACGGTGCACTTTCCAATGTTAATTTGCTCAGGTTACTGCAGAACCAGCAGCAGGATGAAAGAAAGGAGGGGGGGCAGTGAACAGGCATTAAGCTGGGCTTACCTTGGCAAGGGGTTGTGTTAAAATGGTACAATGAGGACAGGTAAGGAAGAGTGCAAAGGTATGCAGATGAGAGAGAGAGGCTGTCTGGATTTGTTCTAGGCAGCTGCACCTTCAACCTAACCTAACCTGATTCACACCACCACCTGCCAACTCAGAATGAAGCAAGGGTTGGGGCAATGAGAGGCCAATGCTAAAAAAATCAATAGTAGAAGAGCTCCCCTTGTCACTCAGGCTTCAGGGCCAAGCTACAGTTCTGTAGATGGCTAGGTCCAACAAACAACATCATAGGTACATAGGGAGCCATTGACAGCCACTTTATTTTATCTGTTCTAAATCTTCCAACAATCAGTTATTGGCTGTCTACAGTTCCCTCCTAGAGAAGGCATGTCCAGATTCAACCATTCTTCAGTATCACAGGCAGTGTGGAGATATGCTTGAGGGAGGGGCTGCTCATTCACCCCCTAGTTCCTCCTCAAGTTCACAATCTGGCCACTGCTGAATAAGGAAGGTAATGCCGTAAGTGAGCATCCTATGCACAACTGAAAAGCACATGTTACACCCTTAAGGAACTTGAAGATTTCACAGTTGCACACACACAGAGTTGAAAATAGCCTTGGTGTGGTATCCTCCCTCCCACGCAGAAGCAGCTGCAAATAAGGCTTTTGCTCAATTTTGACACCTCCAGGAAGGAAAGTACCGGGGCTGCCTACGCTTCCCATCTGTGACTCAAAATTTTTAAGCCTTTGTATCAAAGGGGAGATTGGGGAGCAGAATTCCTGAATTCTTAAATGCATTGAGTGTTGTTGGGAGTAAAGTTACTCGGCAAGGGGATCCGCTGACTTTGCTCTATGGGGAGCGGAGGATGAGAAGAGCACTAACTAGCACAAGCCCTTCTGCTCCAGGACATTTTCTCAGGAGCTCTCATAAATGCAGTACAAGCCTCTCCTAAGTAGCACCAATAGCTTGAGCATGATAAACACATTAAAATATTCTCCGACTCTTGTTCCCTTTTTGGTGTCATGTTCCTTTAGGAGTTTGGGTAAAGCTTAGCAGATTGGAAAATAGTTGCAAGATGCAGAAAGGCAAGGAGCACAGATAAAGAAAGCCAGACCCAATCACGGAGCACTTCCAGATGGTGGTTTCCCAAGTATACAACTGTGTACAAGTGCAGCACCCTGGGGAAAGGAAGGGGCTGCTCCGGCCCCAGTGCTCCCAAGCTGCATGAAGGAAGCCACTGGGGTGGGGCTATCTCACCCCTTATACACCCAACTGATCACTGCAATCCGCAGGTGAGGGCCTCCTGTAAACACCATTTTACTGGGAGATCCATTCCATGCAATAATTGGAATTTGGCCTTTAGTGTGATGGCAACAACTTCCTGGAATCCCCTTCCAAGCTAAATATTATATAGGTACTTCCTCTCTTATCTTTTCAGTGCCTACAAAAGACCTTCCTCTTTCAAAAAGCCTTTCATGTAGAGTTCTTTCCCAGTCTGCACCTCTATGCGAATTGCTTTTAGATGCTTTTCAGATTGTTTGTGTGTTTGCTGCTCTCAAATCCTTTGGAAGGATGCAAGGATTCGTCCATTAACTCACAAACTCTGGCAACAGGGAAGAACCCACAGTTAAAAGGCTGGGATTATTAACAGGAGCCTCCCAGCTGAAATAACCAATTCCACATGAAGAGTAACATAGGAGCAGAGACCAAGGCTTTAGATTCTGCGGTGACTTCAGCAAAAGTCCAGAGGCAACTAAGCCATTTTTAGAAGCAGAGTGGTGGGAGGGCAGAGGTTCATTCCGCTTCTTCTCCCAGAGGCAGCCTTGAGCAGGTGGGTCAATAAAGAGAAATTATTGAGTGCATTGTATATAGCTGCTCCAGTGCAAAACTCCCCATTTGCATGAAGCTGTAAAAGGGCCAGTCTTGACATGAGTCTTGAGGAGATGTACCAGCAGGACTAGTGTAATGAGGGGGAGGAATGGCAAGTGGCTGTAGAACTGGATCCTGGGGGAGGGCCCAGAAGTTCAGGAGGCACTGCTCTAGATATTGAGGAGGAGCCATGTGGGCTGTCAAAGAAAAGTCTTGTCTCAAGTCCTGTCAGCAGAGAAGCCACCTGATGCAACTCTGCTGCCGCCTCCCATCATCAAAGCACTTCCTGTCCCCAGGAAGGCACCTAAGGCTAGACCAGACAGTGAGCTAACCACTCCAACTCTGCCTCTGTCTCCAAGGATGCAGCTGACCTAGCCCACTCACAGGAGTGCCTTTTTGCTTTCTCAGTCCCAAAGCTTGGATCGCTGACCAAGCAAATGATTGTGTCCGCACTGCTATTCAGAAGGAGAGCTCAGGACATGTGTCAAGTGTTGGAATGTCTTAGCTTATGCTTCACCATGTAACTTAGTGCTCAGATATAACAGCTGGCTTGCATCTATGTTTTGGTCATGCAGTGAATTCTGGATTAAAGCCTTTGGCAACTATTGATTAGAGAGTCCAAGTACTGCGCCCTCAAATTGGAGCCAGGACAGGTCTATGTGGTAGTGGTGATGGTGGAGAGGCAACAGCCAGATGTCCCTATCTGATCCTTTACACAAGTGATGGAAAAGGAATGAGAGAGACTAAATGCCAAGAGTGCCCAGACCTGATGGGCTGAAATCCAGGTTACAGATAGTGGCTGTCACAATTCCTAGCAACCCCCCTGGCAGCCTCAAGGGTCCTCCATGCTAAAGCAGTCCAAGCAAATGCAGCAAATGTCACCCCCCAAACCAGCAGCCTACACTGTGCCTCAACAATTTTGTTTAAATCGGAACAGCTATAATGCTTTTCCAGCTTTACGTAGTGCTGGCTAGAGATTATTATACTGTATAGAAATTAACTTTTTTTTAAAAAAAAAATCAATTTGTCAAATCAAAAGGTGATGGCAATGGGGAGTTGAGTGACAAAGGAGGCTGCTTAGCTTCAGAAAAGCACGAGGGGAGAGGGAAAGAGAAGAAAGAGACCGACGAAGAGAACACCAGCTGCCTAAGCAGCATAAGCATTTGAGTTACCCAAAACACTATAACCGGCTAAAGAGAAAATTATACAAACCAGTAAGCACACAAAGCAAAGCCTTTAATATTGATTCATGTTTTCAATATTTCATGAGAGGCATCTTCCTCTGAATAGAACTGACGTGAGAGGAAATGCTTGGCCAGTTCAGAGAGCTACAGACGAGAGTAAAGCCACAGAACCTCCACCTCTCCTTCACAGAAGCTTGGAAGCAGGGCCCAAGACTGGGAAAAGGGCAATCTTTCCTGTGCCACAGGGCAAATCCTTATCAGGATCAGCTTTACAGGCCAAAGTTGACCGGTGGCTTGTCTTGCCCATCAGTCAAGAGTGCTTTATGTGGGGTTCCTGCTTGGGACATTGTTGGCCGCATGTTCCAAGCACAGGTCATTGTTTCTTCCCACCCTACCACTGATGGCTGCAGTTTCCTGATGTTGTTCGAGAAAGTTATTTGATTCTCCCCTCTCTGCCAGTTGATGGGGATAGAAGAATCAAGGCTGCTTAGTACTGGGTTCAGGTGCATGAAAGAGCTCTCTGGCACACCCGGCCCCAGTGCTAAGCAGAATTGCTGCCTCTTATTGACTGATGTGAAGGGACAGCAATCCTGCTTGGTCCTGGAGCATCAGAGAGCTCCTTGGTGCACCCGGACCAAGCAGGGTCATTCTCCTTTCAAATCAGCCGAATGATTGAAAGCTGTACAGTTTTTGTCCTAATGTTCTGCTGCTTGTTCTCTGCCCTCAGAAGGAAATCCATAGGGGCTTTCAGCTCAACCAGGGCCCATGATCTTGACTGTAAAGTAATCTCCCCATTGCTTGGCTCCGTAGGGATCTGGCTGTGTGGCGAGGTCATTAAATGACCATTTTGCAATCACTGCACATTGTGTAATCTTCATTCCACTATGTAAAAAGGGCAGTTAACTTGGTCATAACTCTGGACTGCATCTAAAAGAGTGAATTTACAGGGGGAAACCTGGTCTGACAATTCATGTTGCAGGGGAATGGTTTCATGTGAGCTTTTTCAGAACAGAACTAATTTCAACTGCTTTTACATACCTACCTTTTGCAATTTTAAAAAGATATGATACTAGCATGTAAGGCCCTAAGGCACATCTCCTTTCAGGAACTTGGCCTGTTTCCCCCCACCCCCTTCCAATCTCCCTCTACTTTTCTTCCTCTTCAGACATATATACCTGTTCAGCCTCCAGCACAGATTTATGTCCCTCCACCCTTCCCAAATTCCTTAGGATTCTTAAAACCTTCTCTCCCCAGTTGTCAGGGAGAAGCTTCATGGCTGTTGTATTGGCCAGATAATCAGTATTCTACACAGCCCAAATTCTGCTGGAAACAGAAAGGACTGTTGCTCCCGGCCTTGATTCAGTTTCGAAATGTGTACATCTGTCCTGCAAGGGGAAAGTGTGGCTCCACCGTGGGCTTAGTCAGTCCTTAATGTATGTATGTCTGCCTCTAATCTAATTTTCTATTTCCTAAACATTGAACAGTTGAAATTGTTCCAGCAAATTGTTCAGCTCACCAAACATGTTCCCGATGTGCCCATTCTTAGTGAGAGGTCTCAGTTCATTTTTCCCCATTGCATATTGCTTGTAGTTGTCCCAAGCAAACTTCATCATCTGCAAGAAAAAGAGAAAGACATTTTATGGTTATCTGGATATTAGACTGCTGCATACATAGCCCTTATGAATCGCCACACTGAAAGACAGATTAGAAGGCAGACAGAAAAGGCAAGGTGACTGGTACTGATGTAAGGAGGCAGGAATTTCTGTTCTAATCTATATTTGTCATAATCAGTGCCATTTCCATTCAGCTGCAGTTCGGTTTCTGCCACATACTATGTTATACATCTCACTGCCCAGTATTTAAGGTAATTTGCATAACATAAATTTAAAGTGCTGGCGTGCTCTGGTCTATGGGGTCACGAAGAGTCGGACACGACTAAACGACTAAACAACAACAAAATTTCAAAGTTAGGGAATCATCTTTTTTTAAAAAATAATAAAGTCATTAATTGCATATAGTTTTTAAATCTGCAAACAACACTGTGAATGAATCCTACTCACTTGACTGATTTCTGTTCCTGACCATAGGATTTCTCTGGCATCCCTAATCACATTTGTACAAGGTTGAGGCATAGCCTAAGGAGAGCCCTGCTGAACTGGATCAAAGCTGCATCTTATCAAGCATCATATCTCCCACAGTGGCCAACTAGATGCCTCTGGAAATCTTATAAGCTGGACATGAAGGCTGAGGAACTAGGGCAAATAGTGCTGAAATGAGACACAGTTCCAGGCCTTACTGATAAATTTAAAATGAACACGTCCAGATGGCTGGGCTGGCACAAAAGACTTTGCCACCTGAGTTGCTCCTGTCTCTGCCACCCACTTCTTCTGTGTCACTTGCTGCTCTAACCCCTTAATTTTTATAATTTTGCCAGTTGATTAGTAATGGCTATGCTAACTCTCTGCTTCCCTTTCCACACCATCCTTGCCTTGTTCTGAGAAAAGGCCAAAGGGGTACAGTGGTACCTCAGGTTACAAACACCTCGGGTTATAGACTCCACTAACCCAGTAGTAGTAGTACCTCGGGTTAAGAACTTTACCTCAGGATGAGAACAGAAATCGCAGGGCGGCGGCAGTGGGAGACCCCATTAGCTAAAGTGGTACCTCAGGTTAAGAACGGTTTCATGTTAAGAACGGACCTCTGGAACGAATTAAGTTCGTAACCAGAGGTACCACTGTAATTTCTCAAAGTGAGGCATTGTAGTCAAACTTTGCTATATCGATTGATTTCGCCTTATGCCCAACCCTGAGGGAAATGTGCCATATGCACAGAGGTTTTTCCAAATCTACAAGTCCATTTATTTATTTTTTAAATGAACTGGGTGATACACAGCTCAAATATGTGTTAGTTTGCAATGTCATCATTCTGGAGGTAAATCTGGGGCCACGAAAGGTGTGGGAGCATTGGTTACAGTATGTTCTGAAGCTGTGGTTGGAGATAAGCTAGAAATATAGAAAGCTGCCTTACACCAATTCAGACCCTTGGGTCTACCAAGCTCAGTTATTAACTACACTGACTGGTAGCAACTCTTCAGGGGTTCAGAATGTTGGTTCAAAATGTATGTAAAGGAAGGAGAATTCCCTTGTTGCCAAGATCCAGGTTTGGGGCAAGTGCTTTTTGTTGACAAAGCATCAGCATTGATTTAAAATCACAAAAAAATATGCAGCAAAGTAAAGTAGAAATATAGACTTTTCGACCTTTAAAATATGCCCTCCAAGTTCCTTCCAAAGTTTTCCACTTGCTCTGGCACAGAAAAAGATCACACATTTGTTAAGTTAAAAACAGTTTACTTACAAACTCTCCAAAGGTCAGATTCAAAAGCTTCAGAAAGTTGCACAGGGAGTAAAACTTGACTTAGTTACAAAGTGGTGAAAGTTCCTAAATTATTGGTATAGGAACTCAAAGAGTGGCTTGGGAGAGCCATGCTGTCTGAGCTAGAACAACCAGCTCAAGCCTCTTGAGCTTCTCAGATAGGCTAAGAACAAATGTTTGATTGCCCATTTCTTCCCAAGGTGAGGGGAAGTGGACATAAGTAAACCTGGTAGGACAGCTTCCTCTATGGTATTAACCCCTTAATGCATTAATTAGACTTAATCATGTTGTGTATATGAGGCTGGCTATGCAACACAGACAAGGGTGTCTCCCGGCCCTACCAGGAGATGCCAGGGATTGAACCTGGGACCTTCTGCTTGCAAAGAGATGGTTAGAGATGACAACAGATGGTTGGAGTGCAAGATGGTTTGGAAGAACGATGGCTGCTCAAGCTATGTCTACCCAACCTAATTTCTCTTCTGTTGAACAAGATTTTGTATTGTTTCAAAATCCTGTATAACTAGAGGAGACAAAAGGGTGGTGTGAAGCAAATCCTCACATATATATATATCTATATCTTTCCACATCTCAGAAAAAGCTGTCTTTGTCATGCCTTCCTAAAAGATTCCTTATGGGAAAATAAATTCTCCAACTCCAAAGAGCATGGTTTGGGAGAGACTTCCAAGAAATCATCAAACTGGCCTTCCGGGAAAGACTCTGAGGCATGGGGTCATTGACACGTATGTACAAACATAACTTTTTTGCTTTCCCTTCGCACGCTTGACTCCAGCTGGCAGGGGAAGTGAAAATGACAAATATCCACCCTTAAGAGACTAGAACTGGTCAGTTGCCAGGCTTTTCCCTAAACAAGGCCTCTCGCTTTTGAAAAATGCAATCCAAGGCTACCTATTTCTCAGAGCTTTCTAAGGTCACAATCCTCAAGCAAGCTTAGTCTGCAGCCAGGGGTACAATTAAAAAATGCATTCACTAGCCCAATTAAAAATTCCATTTTTTGGCACAGTTGCCATCAAAAACTCACAACAGCATGTACGGGGTTCTATGCATCTGCAAGAATGTTTGAATGCCCTTCTCAAACTTAAGAAAATGCTGCTGCATCTGGGCAATGGCTCATCTAGTCCAGAACCACATTCTCATAGTGGCCAACCAGATGCCTCCTGTGGGAAGCTCTCAAGAAGGACCTCAACACAACAGCACTCTCGCTACTTGTGATTCTCAGCAATTAGTATTCAGAGGCATACTGCAGCAGTGGAGGCAGAACCCAGCCATCCCCCTGACAGCCTTACCCTCCATGAGTTTGTCTAATCCTCTTTTAAAACCATCCAAGTTGGTGGCCATCAAAAAACCTGAAGGACCAATGATTAGCTAACCCTGGTGTAACAAGCACCTGTCAAGCAAGTTCACTTCATGCTCAGACAACATAGTGAAACTCATTCAGCCTAGGGAAGCTCTATCAGACCTTGGTGCCTGCTCATGAACCCTAGAGCAGGAGACTAGAGAATCTTCTTTCTTGTGAGAGGCTTTGGAGTGACCCGTGAATTTGTTTGTGCCCTGGGTGAGAACCAGGGTGGATGGCTGGGTTCACAACTATTTTTCAAGTCAATGGGAATAAAAGGGATGGGGAGCCCCGTTTTTGCCGTGAATATACCACTTCAGTCTAAGCCCAAACCAATTTAGCAGCCTTGTAATTTCAGCTGGGTGCCCATTCAGCCAGGACTTAAAATATGAACTGTGGGCCTCCCGTCACCTAACATGGCATTAAGAGGTTATTCATCTTCTTTACACAACCTTGTGAATGAACTCATTGATAAGGATCCTTCCTGTTTTCCTATGCACGTTTCCCAGGGCATGGTCAGTCTGAGGAGGAGCCAGGCTTCTCACATCCAAGATTTCTAGAGTTCCCAATTTCTGTGTGTGGGTTGTGCTTCTTTCTCCAGCTGTATAGTTTCCAAAACCCAGCGTTAATAGCATCTGGCAGCACTCACTTTAATTAGCACAGGCATCCAAACACCCAAACACACACACACACACACACACACACACGTGTTACTACGTATAGTGCTTGGTTTAGTGGGGAGGAGAAAAGAAACCCCACACTGAGCTAGCTGATAATATTAAGATGCCACCACCAGAAGGAAGGAATTCTGGATGAATCAAAAAAGAAAGAAAAAAGCTAGTCAGTTTTTGAGATTCAGTGTGGGATGAATCAGTTTTCAGAATTCATTAACTCTCACAGCCTAAATGTGCTCTCTAACAAGAACACAACCTCCTGTAGAAGGCTTTTGAGTATGTATCACTCATATGATGCAGGTATCTCATACCACTTTTTCCTGAGTTGAAATATGATGTTATCTACCAATGGCATTCATCCCAGCTAAGAGGAGGATGGCAAAATTAATGGATTAATTAAGACTTGTGAATATGTACACAGACGTTGTTGGCCCTGGCCTTCTGTCCACATGAAAGCTACCATAGCATAAAAGAAAATAACAGAAACTGATTTTTTTACAAAAGTTATGCCTGGTCCCCTCAATGCAATTTTATATCTGCCACAGGTGACTACTCAATAAGCTATTTTCAAGGCTGGATTAACTGAGAGATCAGACAAAGGTTTAATTTTAAATATTTGCTCCTCAATTAAAGGCAGAGCACACATTGAAAAGTGCCTTGCTATCTGACTTTTAGAAGACATCTAAAAGCAGCCCTGCACAGAGAAGGTTTTAATGTTTGATGTCTTACTGTGTTTTGATTTGTTGGAAGCCACCCAGAGTGGCTGGGATAACCCAGTCAGATGGGTGACATATAAATAAATAAATTTCTTCTTCTTCTTCTTCTTCTTCTTCTTCTTCTTCTTCTTCTTGTCACTGTCTTCCCCACCTGCTGTACCAAAATTAATGGCAAACACATTGGGCAGTACACAGCTAAATAGCTGCAGAAGCAGAATAACTCCCACTTGCACAGCAGGACTTCCCTCCCTCTCCTCTCCTCTCCTGTCCCCTCCCCCCCAAATTTGCTCCAGGGGGTTGTGGGGACCCCTAAGGCAAATTTGGGGGGCAGAGGAAGACTGGGGAAGAATTTTCCATTGCGCTGACATAACCAATGACTTAGTATTATGCTGAATTCTACTAAGAAACACATTTTCCTTCCAGTTCCTATTGAAAGCTGGCAGATATACAGTTAAACTAATATGGCCTCTTTTCTATCACTAAGAACCACGGATGAC